GGGGGCATATAGGGCACCTCCACTGACTGACGAACAGGTTGTAGTAGACGTCATTCGTCTAGTCACCTCGCTGCGCCGTGTGTCAATGCACAAAAATTTGAAATTCCGGAGACCAGCGGGCCCACTGTGCCGTGGTTGCGCACACAAGGGTAGACGCTGAATTTCAAACGACGCCTAAGTCTTTTTTAGCATTTTGATGTTTTTTTTTTTGTTGTTTGTCTTCCGTGGTGGCTATTTCTTGCTGTCTTCTAACCTCTTAGGTCGTATATGCCGTTATGCGTTGATATTTCCGACATGTCTAACTTTTACCCCCAGGAAAGCAAGAGATACGCGCAGTAAATCAAGATTGTGTATAGGTCCGCGCCGTGCTCGAAGAGCAACGCTGTTGCGTTTATCGAAGATAGTTCATGATTGTAAGAGAGGAAAGAAAATAGGCAGGAGAGTGCACGAAGAGGAGTGAGGCACAGTACACACCTTGCGTACTCTCCGCGCCCTGCGCGAACGGCCTATAGTTTAAAGGCAGTGTCCGGGCAAATTTTCGCCCCTCGAGTTTTTGCAGTTTTAGGGCCTTTCCGTGGCCCTGGTTACAGTTATAAAGTTCAAATTGTCCAAAACCCTCAAAAACCCAATTCCTAGGGACCCTGTTTTAAGGGCGCGGACGAGTTTCTGGTTGTTTTCCCCCCGGCTCGCCATCGAGGAGAAGCTGCAACTGATTGCAACTGCATGGGTGCAGTTGCAATCAGGGCCCGGCACGCGTTGGTTTGGAGCATTTTTTAAACGAAGTCCCCCATGATTTCGCCAAAATTTACGAAGTACCTCTTGACGTAAAATTTGGTAGGGAAACCCTTATTTAGTCAAAATAACAAGGAAGAAGCGAAAAAAGCGCATTTCGAGGTATCTAGTATAAAAAAGCAAAACGAAAACATTTCGAGTTGATTAAAGGTTTTGTCATTGTACGGCACCATTTTAGTGCTCAGAATGTCGAAAGCCTCTTAGGCCAACCAAATTTGTGGCCTCAACAATCTGGCGATGCATCATTCGCCACAAAGTTTAAAGGACACCGCAAGTGATTGGAGCGCGGTACCTATCGACGCGTAGATTGACACTACTTTTGGCTCAAGAAAAGAAGAGAGGCAATGGTTTGATTCGCTCTCTTCACTATATGATAGGTTTTGATCGTTCTAATCGCGCAAATCGAAAAGGTCCAAAATTATGTGAACTCTCCGATATTTATGCTCCGACCAACCCAGTTGGTTTAGTGTTGGTCTAGAAACCAACAAATTCGGGTATGGATACTAGAACATATAAATCTCTGGAACTTCTTACATAACATAGTTTGGAGTATTATTGTATACACATAGCCCAAATTCGGAGCCATATGATTGTTTATGCACTGTAAACAAGCCGTTTCTTTGTTTTTAGTAATGCATCTGAAATTCGCGCGCCCGCGAAAGAACACGTTCAACTCGTAAACTGACATGTTCGTCGCTTATTTCGGCGCTTCCTGCAGGACCTTATAAAAACGACATCCGCGTTGCTTCTAACTTCTAAAACGAAGTCCAGTTTGACCCCAGACCATCTGTGCCGAGTCCTGGTTGCAATCCATGATCGATCGATGCGCGAGCACACGTCCTCAGGGGGAGGTTTGTGATACGTATCACAGGCCCGTATCTCCTTTTAGAGATCACGTCAAAGGATCGCACCAACGCAGATCCGATACTCATGGGGCCCGCTTTATAACTATATGTTAATGTAGGTGGGTGGACCTTGCCCGAACGCTGCCTTTAAGTGCGCCTATCTTTGTGATGTAAGCAAACTATGCTTATATCTGAGTAAAATAGTCCGTTTAACACGCTGAATATGGATATCACATTGACTTTGTACGGTAGCGCCATGTTCTCGAGTTACGGTAGTACACGGTACATGAGTGAAAATTTGAAAATTGCTTGATACGTTGTCTAGAGGTTTTCAAGCATGCTGATAACGAATATTAGGCTTGCTCGCTATAACATCCTATCCTGACCCCATACCATGATCCTACTGTAACCCCACCATAAGGCGTCTTCGAGAGCAATGAATATGATATTGGTGGTCAGCATGTCGAAAACCCCCCCCCCCACCCTATGCAAAGTTTTAGCGAATTCTGAGATTTTGACCCCATACCGTATGCCTACCGTAAACCCTCAAAGAAAGCCTTACCATGCAAAATAGATATCATTTTTTCGTGATCAGGAAATCGAGTAACCCCTTTAAGCGAATTTTCAGCGAAATCCTTGATTTTCAATTTCTGGGCTGTATCAAGTGGAATAGTACCGAGTTTCGTTTTTGGGCATTCTCTGCCCCTTTTCATTTTCCATATCGTTGCTTCTCCGTTCCTTCTTCTGCCCCGGTTCTCTTTGTGATGAGAAAAGCTGTGAACTGCGGAGTTGAGGATTGAACGCTGTTCTGCTTCATGTATCCGGGAAGATGACCCGTCGTGCGCTCGTCCATTCTCTCTTCGCTATTTTTGTTCAGACCTACTTCATGTCTAGGAAGGCGTAGTTTCGCATCTGTATTAAAATTAACGTTGGCAGGTCTTTAGAACATATGAAGTAGGCGTGAACAAAAATGGAAGAGAAGATGGACGAGCGCACGAAGGCCCGTCTTTCCGGACACATGGAGCAGAACAGCATTCAATGCTCGGTCCCGCTTCAAGTTCGCAGCTTTTCTCATCACAAGGAGAAGCGGGGTAGAAGAAAGAACGGAGAAGCAATGATATGGAAAAAGGAACGGGGCAGAGAACGCCCAAAAACGAAACTCATCAGAAAACAAGAAAATCGTCTCAATTTATGCAATTTCAGAGTTGGCAGATGGCTATGGAAATTACGCAGCTGCTTCCTGGAGCAAATGGAATAGGAGTAAAAATAAAGCGAAGAGAAAATGGACGAGCACAAGAACACACGCTTTGTCGCATACACAGAGCAGAAAAGCGCTCATTCTTCAACCCCGCTTCGATTTCGAAATTCTGCTGATCAAAAAGGGAAGCGGGGTAGAGGAATAAGGCCAAAATGAGAGAAATCTCGAAGAAAAACCGTTGAGAACGGTCAAAATTTTCCAACTTCCATCGTTTAAAACGGTGCGAGTCGGCTGCAGCGCATGCAGCACAGTTCTGGAACAGTTCCAGCACAGTGCGAGAACTGTGCGGGAACAGTTCCGGAACATGGGAATCAGTATGAACCCAGCCTGTGAAGTGAAGTGAAGTAACGCAAATTTGGCTACATGGCACTCATTTTAGATTTACATAGATCAAGTTTTTGAAGTCTGTAACAATTGTTTGTTTGGAAAAACCTCGGCTTAGTGAGCACTCGTAGCACACGAGAGTATCTACAATACCGAAGCTAATTCTTGAAAGTAGATCACACTGGTTTTCTGCATGAATGATCCTCAATAACAACCAAGCTTCAACTCGCGGGAACTTTGGAAGCTTTCATGCTTTTGCTGCTCTCTAAAGACATAATTCTTTAAAGCCCAAACAGCAGGCCAGAAGACCAAGAAGTATGTAAGGTACAAAATGTGCTCTATTTGTACGATAGTTGATCTTTTCCAAAACTATTGAGTAAAATTCTTGGAAAGTAGCCGAACTTTAAGCAGATGAAAACAACGGGTGAAGAACTCTGGCGGTCAAGAAGCATTCAGAAAATTATGGCTTGAAATCGCAACCATCATAAAGGAAAGACTAACTGCGTCGAAGTGTTCAAGCATATTTAGGTCCTCATTGCAAGAATTTCCACAGTCATCTTATATATAAAGCTGAATGTCTGTTTGTCTTTCTGTCGTATGTCTGTATGTCTGTCTGTCTGTCTGTACGTATGTTCCGAATAAAAATTCCATTTCTGAACCGATCCGGACCAAACTTGGCACACATACACTACGGGCCCCGGCGGGTGTCATAGGCTACTTTTCGTCATCGATCGATATCGATTTTATCGATTTTTATCGATTTTTTTTGTAAAGTTTGACCTGCGGGGCTGGGAGTTTGCACAGGGGGGTAATCGAGCATGCAGATTACGAATACAATATTAGTTTTCAAGATCGTCCATTACTTTTATCGATTTTATCGATTTTTTTGCAAAGTTTGAGCTAGGGGCCTGGGAGTTGGCACAGGGGGGTAATCGAGCATGCTGATCATCCCCAAGGGGGGTGATCAGCATGCTCGATTACACCCCTGTGCCAAATTCCAGCCTCGCATGTCAAAATTTACAAAAAATCGATAAAATCAATAAAAGTAATCGATAATTCTGAAAACTAATATTGTATTCGGAATCCTCATGCTCACTCCCCCCCCTGTGCAAACTCCCAGCCCCGCAGGTCAAAATTTACAAAAAATCGATAAAATCAATAAAAGTAATCGATAATTCTGAAAACTAATATTGTATTCGGAATCCTCATGCTCACTTCCCCCCCCCCCTGTGCCAACTCCTAGCCCTGTAGGTGAACTCTGCAAAAAATCGATAAAAATCGGTAAAATCGACATCGATCGATAACGAAAAGTGGACTGTGACACCCGCCGGGGCCCGAAGTGTATGTGTGCCAAGTTTGGTCCGGATACGGCGGAGCCGGGTAAGCCAGCTAGTACGAAATAAAGATGAAGACTTCTGGGACAACTCAATAGTATCGCTGCCAGACTGTGTTGTAGATTCAGCCGTTGACAAGTAATTTTTCTGAGATAAGTGTTTTTCGAAGTGATTGCTGCACTAGGAAATGAACATAACTAGCTTTATGAATATGGAATTGACACCGTTAGCTTCACTGGTTTTTGTTTTGACGTACGGATATCGATATAATCTCTAAGTACTTGGATTCTTGCAATAAACGCGCGAAGTCGCTTTCACCACATATAAGTCAGATTGACTGTTTTCTCATGGGATTAGTTCATGTACAAAAAAGTTGTATTACAACACCAGTTCAACGTTGATCAGGTAAGAAACAGCGCGACCCATTGTTAGTGGCGCATAGCATACCTGGTATCTCAATTTCTGGAGGATCTGGAAGGCAGTTCATTCTTCTTACAGCAACTTCGTAAGAGACTCTGTAATCAGCATCTACGTGCTTTGGCCATCAGATTAGTGGTAACAATATTTGCTATCTGACACGGTTTGGCACCTCTCTCACATCATGCGGCACAGTTATTGGCGCATGTATTTCTATGCGCCATACTAGCATAAAACCAGCTCAGCGAGGAACAAGATTGTTTTTGCCTTGGTTCTATACCACTGTAATCTAGTTGAAAGATGTGAATTCGCTTGTTTTCCTTCTTGTTTTCAAACAAAATCTCCAAGCATGAACATTTTTCCCTTTCACAAATATTGTTTCTTGCATTTCTTACGTTTCAAGGCAAAGACCGTCTTTGAATCTTGACTCGTTGACGATAGTGTCGCGCAATGGTGTGCGAGGCAGTCTGTCCCTGCGAACGATGTCGTTGTAATGTGCACAATCGTTCCAGTTTGTGTTCACCTAATCATTTTGGGCTCAGAAGTTTTCATGTTGGCCCCGCCCCTCTTCTAGCAAACTCCGTCCACTCCCTTTGCCTTCTGCAAGACGTTTTTGTGCACAATACGCAAAGAAGAGGTTGCAAATGACTCCTGGGGCCTCAAGCAGCTCTGAGGTATACCCGCTCCGCCAGGAAGGCTTCGCTCCCTCAGTGGCAAGCTCCGCCCACTTTTCAAAAATTGTTGGAGTTTGGACGAATCCCTAGATCGCAAGCAATTTGAAGCATTGAGAAGTAGGCGGAGCTTCCCACAAGGGGCGGTGCTGCCCCGCCGCATATATTCATATTTTAGGCATAGATGCATGCATATATACAAACAGCCAGCCGTGAAAGTGCACGAAAACAGGGGCAGACTTGAAATAAAAAGGTTTGTCGTCAACTGTTAAAATTGCTTTTTATAGAGTAAGCTTATGGCATTCTACGGCATGAAGTCCATATCAGTTTTGTGACTGCTTTTATTGTAACATTACTTTGAACATCTAAGCGGAAATAATCTTGGCGCACCCGGTACATTATTGACTTCTATCGCAAATTGTGAACGTTCTCTCAAACATGTCCTAATTCAATCTCCACTTTCGTTTTCGCGCTAGAAATTGAAACTAACTCGCTTTAGACTGAGTCGGCAGACACCATGGGGATTTATAAGAAAATCAATGCACTTACATCCTTGGATCTTCGGTGTTGACTACTTTCCGGATGTTAGCGATGACGTCGAATGAAATCTGACGACCATCACGGACCACTTCTCCTCCTGTCACTGCCTCGCCGGGTCCTATAGGTGTTACACCTACTATTTGAGAAAATCGTAAGCCTTCGAATGTGCAGCACTGCAGAAGTAGTCTGAACTCAAAAATCACGTGTTTAGGCTTTTGTGATGGGTGCAGTGGTAGACTTACGGCTGACGTGGGTGGTCTATGTACTCGATTCCTCCAACCCACTGATTTTTTCGAGAGCACGCCAGCTGATCGAACTCATCCGAGCAGTTCTGCAGAATTAAGAAACATCGATAAACGCTGTCCAAAGACAAAAGAATTCGTTGGATTTGCTAAATCAAAAAAAAACAAAATAGTGCGGAAGAAACCAGCTGAAAATTTTTTATTCTTGCTTTTTCTCTTCATATTCATTTTGATGTTGCATCCGACTCGCATTCAGCTGTGTTCTTGCAATGTGTTGCTGTTAGTGCGGAGCAAAAGCAAATGACGTGTTAGTATGATCTTGGGCGAGGAGGATGTCAGTTCTATGATATTTTCCCAAACATCTACAAAATGAAATGTAGACACTTCTTTTGCAAGATCCACCAAATATAGAATTTGCAGCATGAATTGAGCAATTTGAGTTTGGGAGAACAAAGCACGAACGAAGGTTTTTTTTATTAACCTATAAGGCGATAAGTCGAACTTAAGTGGAATAAACCAACAAGGTATTCCGTTAGCTCAAAACAAGCGGTAATTTCGCACCGTTATCGTAAGCGATGAAAGCATGTGTTGCTTGTGTGAAGGCATGTTCAAGTCGTCTGATACTTGTCATTATATCCCTAGGAATAAGAAATAATAATCTCTAACACTTCAACACCGGACCGGATGCTAGGACAGGTTTGACGAAACAGCGGTCAAACAAAAAATTAGCGTCCTGCAGTGCGACTCTGCGACTGTAGTTTCTTTTACACAATCAGCTATACAGAGGAAAATGGAAAATAAAGTAAACAAGTAAATCAAAAGTTCAAAAAGAACAATAATATATCTTTACGTGACAAGTCAGACTCCCTCTCTCTCTCTCTTTTCTCTTTCTCCGCTCCTCTCCTTCTCAGTAAGGCTGAAACAAGCAACTGTAAGTTTAGAACGGCATTGTAGTGGGACATGGGTAGTCAAATTAGTTCACCAGTTTCAGTTTTGCTAAGCGAAATCACAGATATCATCCCATCATATAATATCATATTTCTAGCGCGTGATAAGAAATAAAAAACGAAAACAAATGATAGGAGATCGCAGCAAAGGTTACGAACCGCTCTCAGCTTGTTTGTTTGAAGGTAACCCTGATGCGAATTGTCGCCCTCACGGAAGAAGCCATCAATTTGACCAGACGCGTCGGTGTTGAACACGCTGTCATCAACATCATCGGCTGGTTGAGCAAGACATGACGGCTGCGCACATCCTAGCACAGGAGCACCTTTAAGCCACAAAAATACCGTTCTCTTCCAGCGCATACAGAAGAATATTTCGTAAGTACCTGAAGGCAGCACTTCGACGCTGAAGGGCACACCACTTTTGCCGCAAAATGAGCCGGACGTGCTGCCCACAAAAAGAATGAGTACCCAAGGATTCATCTGAAGAGGTTCTTTGGTGCTAAAAACGCTGAAGAATTCGTTAATGGCTATTGCTGTAGATGTAGTTGTCGATGAACTTATGGTTGAACTCAAAATGAATCAACATCAGAAGGAGAAAGTGAAGAACTTGAGTTATACTGAACCACTCTAGAAACTACTCACTCGAATCAGAATGACAAATTCACCATACCATCGACAGCAGCTAACAATTTGTTTATCTACACATCATGTCTCTAATAAAAATACAGATGGGATACCGGAATGTTGTGATTCAACCCCATCCAGAGCGTTGGAGTCGATAAGGATTAAATCTCGGTCACTGACCCCCGCCCTCATACGGGATGCATGCGCGCTTGCACTAGTTCAATAGATTTTTTGTTCATGTTCTCAGGATTACATAGCTAAGACCTTTCAGGCAACAAGCGTTGGTTGGTCTCTGTACAGCTCATTGTCTTTACAACTATGAATTTTACGAATCGTTAATAGAAAATTGGAAGCCCTCCAATAAGTATTACCTGAGATGTTACTTCATAGTCTTGTCACACTAGATCTGACAATCTGTGATTCGATGCCTCCTTCCAAGAATGACATGAGAAATCGATGAAAAATACATGAAGTTATCTGGTTATGTATGAAGAAAACGCATGGAACAAGATTATCACCATCTGCAGACTGATCACAGCAGCTCGTGGAAACTAGCAACATTATCATCTTTGAGAGGTGACAAAGTAAAACCCCAATGTAGAAGTCAAGTACGCGTTCATCTTGACATTAGAGAGGTTTTTTTAATGTGTCTAGATATAGATATGTGTTCGCCTATTTCAACAAAGCGGTAAATATAGTTAATAGAGGACAGGTATCAAGGATTATATGCGCACAAACGAATGCAGAGAGGAACCCGACTTAGCTTTCTTGTAGCAGTCGCGGATTCCCCCCAGTCAAGGTTATCTTTAGCTGCTGGACATGGCATCTACTGTCTCAGACAAGAACGAACTTTATTGGTAGCCCCTTTTGTTTTTACAAATTTGCGATACCGTGCGAGGTTATAGGCGCTGCAAGACCTCATACTTCCAGGCAAAGCTATCAAAATAATGCTCAGATTGTTTTTTTCTACCTTTTTGTAAGTACATATAACTTCCACATACTGTCGCACCATTTTCAAAAATTCATAACTTCTTATTTTACCGATGGATTTGCACATAGTCAAGCGATTTAGAAAGAGGAAATCATGCGCTTTACGATAGCACCAGAATGACGTTCTGAAACGCATACAGTGCAGATATAAAGTGTAGAAGAAAATTAGTCAATTTTTTTCGTATAGAATCGCAAAAAACTGAAAGCTGTCCTAATAATCAGAGCTGTTGGTATTATAGGTTTTATAACCTGCTCTCTCTACCTCAGCACCTTCATTTTGATTGAGCTTCATTATGATAAGTTATTATTTTTGGACAAGAACAAATCTTAGAACTTATATTACCATCTACTTCGATTTTCAGCGCAAGTTTCAGATTTCAAACGAAGTAGCCTGTCTTTTCTAGCCAAAAGCTATCCTACATAGCTTTGATCCTGCAGACGTAATAAATTATGTAGAACTGTTCAAATCAGAAAATGTGCGAAGCAGTAGAGCAAATCTCCACAGATTTTCCGGCTTCCACGGCCAAGATACCATAAAATTTCAAATGACCAAATTTTTTGCTTCTAAACTTAGATAAACCATCAGATTTTTTCAGCAGATCGTTACGGAACTCCTTTCCCTCCTAAGTTGTAAGCGAGTGCCTCTAGTACTTACTTTCCGTTGTTACTTAACTTGCTCTCGTAATTCTTCTGTTTGAAGCTTGTGCATCAGAAAATTTCAATTAGCGTTGTGTCAGTTCTCCTGGTGAAATCTACCTTCCAAGGTCCCCTAGCCGCCTTTGAATTTCCGCCAATTCAATCAGTTAAAATGTTTTTCCTTCTAAACAGGGAATACTTGATGACGCCGGCCATTCATAATGATTTGTATATCAAAAAATGCGCCTTTTAATGCTGGTTTGAATACTGTTTTCCATACCTGCGAAACGAGAACCTGGGAGAGTTACGATTTTTTTTCAAAAATGAATTGCGCTACTGCGAAGGGTGAAAATTATTGATAAAAAACTTTCTTTCCTCTTCAAATGCTAAATATGGTTTAGATAGGTATAAATACAACGTTACACCTTTCAAGATTCTCCTCAATAGCTTCAAACGGTAAAATAAATCAAAGTGGGTGATTAACTACCCAAAAGTACGCAAATTTTCTACGAAAAAAAGTTCATAACTGCCTTTATATGATCGTTTCGCAAGTTTCGAGCACAGTAGGATCAGCGTTTCAAGATGCACCTTACATACATCGCATTCTAAATGACCGGGGTCACCAAGTATACTTTTCTTTTAAGAATGTAGGAGTTGAAAGTCATTACGTTCTGGCGACATTCCCTTCGGCAAAAGCTTTTTTTAGAGTTTCACACATGATGTTTCTCTAAGAAAAATCCACTCACTGCCTTCTTTCTTCCAAAACTCTCCAGAATTTCTCGCCAAACGGCTCAACCTGCCATCAGATTTTTCAATCCAGACCTTCTCCTCTCTCTACACCCCCCTTGTTTACACAACTAACTAATTTGGGCTAAAGTTTCTACTTATCCCGCGAAGTTTTCATTTCACCCTCCCTCAAAAAGACCTAACTTTTTGAATCAAAGCGTTTCAAATAAATCCCAGTTTCTATAATTTTTCCGCAATTTGTAAATGTGCTGGTCCAGTCAGTAACCAAGATTTTTTTTTAGCTTAATCGTCCCTATAGTTCCATTCGCACAAAAGTCGTGCATGTTTACGCTAATTTGATTATCATTCGGTCCTACAGCGTGTCCCAAAAAGCTCCCTAGTGTATGACTCATGTCGTTGATATCCAGGGCCCGGCATGAGTCCGTTTTTAGGCTTTCGGAAAACAAAGTCCTCCCTACTTTTGCAAAATTTTACGAAGTTGCCTTTGACCCCTGTCGGAGATGTCGACTAAAAAATCCAATCATCATACTCTATAGTAAAGCGCAGGCGCCCCATCTGACATCATCGGCGGCCAATGACGGTCTGCTCGTGCCACTTTTGGGTTGCTGGACCGCTATGCTCCATACTCTCCCCCCCCCCCCCCCCCCCATCTCCACTCCGGGTACGTTGCACTACTCATCGACACCTACTTCAACATTGCATGTCCTCCGCTTTTGTTTATCAAGATGCCTCATCCAGTGAGCACGAGCTGCCACCTTTGGAATCTATCTCAGTTTCCTAACAAAATCACACCGTTTTGAACAACTTTATTGTGATTAAGTATTATAATCGACATTTTGCCGAAGAAATTTTGCTGGCAAATTATTGCTCGACTGTGTGATAAACTAAGATCATATCTAGTGTAAAGTGTAAATAGATTGCTCCACTCACTCGATTGCAAGCTCAAATCCACTCTGGATAGCACAACTTAGATAAACTGATCGCAGTTCGACTTCTCTCGCTGGAAGTCGAATTGCGATCGATATGAGGTGCAGTGGCGTACTTAGGATTTCCGCTCGGGGGGGGGGGGCGACAAAAATTTTTTTCTCTTGAAGGTGCGAGTTAGCCACGCACTCCGAAAAAATTTTTGGGGAGTTTTTCAAAATTTTTGAGGGTCCCCAACCCCTAAAACGTGGAAAAAGGGGGCGTGACGTCAGCCACGCCCACGAAAAAAACTTTTTACAATGCTAATTTGGATTTTTAAAAACTTTTAAAAATTATTTCAATTATTTACAAGTAAAAACAAGTCGCTTCCATATTTTTATAACCCATATAAGTAACTTTCAAAATTCGCAACCCATTCTCGGGGGGGGGGGGGGGCGCCTCCCCCCTCCCCCCACCTCCCCCCCCCCCCTCGGTACGCCACTGATAAGGTGGTAGTATAAGGTGTGTGGTTGAAGCGATTTATCTAGCAGATTCCGCAAAAAAAATCTAGACTGGTCTGCAAATTGAGATTGACGCCATTTTATGTACATGGACCATGTTCATAAACCTTTTGAGAGGCTTTACTAGAACTGGTTTGAATAAGCCTTGCAGCTATCACTATGTACATAGCTGTACAACCGACTATATAAGTATGTTTCTTCGCTGCAGGCGTTGTGACTATTCCACATTGTCATTTGGAGTGGGAATAGTTCACGGCAAAGGAAAAACCCAATAGCTATGACAACATCAATCACTGATATAGGTGACTACGACTACAATGCAGCCTGTACGACACTCAGGAGAAAGAAATGGAAACGTTCATGTCAACATGGGCAATTTCTGAATCAATTTTATCGACTCTTTGGCTGTTGGCGATGTTAGGACGGCTAGCAGAAGCGAGAAGATCGCTTCTGAAAGGGAGAGTGGCTTTACAGAGTGGAAGGCTCCGCCCACCTGCTGATTCCGTTCCTGCGTTAGAGCCCTTTTTCGCCGTTTTTGCGCTCTCCAGCGTGGTTTTTCGTATTCAGCGCAGCGAGGGTCAGGTAAAGACAAAATGTTCAAATTGGTTTCCTGGCCGGTCATTACCTTCAAAGCGCTGCAAGAGGATCTTAAACTTCCTCGCTGGCCCACCCAGCAGTTCAGATGTTGCCGACTAGCGCTCTATCGGTAAGCTGGATTCACAGTGGTAGCGTGATAGTATTCGCAAGTGAGACATGGTGAAGTCATTTCAATTACTATATCTGGTGGATATCTGAATTTGAAGTGCAGTAGGCCAGCTGCGGTAGAGCGCGGCACGAACCTCTACAACCTCGATCGCTCTACCGCGAAGACCTTGCGTATAGTAAATTACAACTCAGTTTGGATGGAAATTGGACTGGCAGAAGTCCGCTTCGCAACGGTTCTCGCCGCTTTGCAGTCTTCGTCTCTTCGTTCTAATCTATCTCGCTAAGCCGGTGGCGGTGCGGACGCGCTGCTCCACTTTGAAAGTTTCGCCTACTCCAAATTGGAAGAGACTGTAACTACTAAAATGATGACTACTATGAATCGAGTTGTTTAGCTGCCTATAGAGCATTTTCTGTTGTTATTTTTGTATGTCATATGAAACAGCTACCGTTGATGCCCACCATCCATTCGTCGTCCGCCGGTATTGCTGACGACTTATGGTACAATTCACACCATACGAAACCTAGGAGACATATCGCCGAAAAAAGTTCCCGCGCCGACATTTGCAACAAACCAGTAGTAGTGCATGAGGCAGTAGTGCTTTCACCACTACTGCCTCATGCTAGTGTTCGCGTGGGCTGGCTATCGGCGATCTAACGTCCTCCACCATACGAAACTTCATGGGGTAACTAACGCGTTAAAAATATTTTATAGATGTTTCTACTTGTAAGATAAGTAGTCAGCTTCCTTCACCCAATCTTCATAATGGGAAACACAAAAGAGTGTGTCAGAAGCTTAGAGTCAGCTCCCAAAAAGTTGTGTGATATAAACATCGGCTACGATATTTGAGAGCATGACAAAGCGTGTTAAAATTACTTTATATTTGAAATGACCACAATATATTCGAAGAGTATAACCAGAATAGTAAAAAACCAACGAATGAAAAACTAAGCGCTCCACCGATATGTTCGCACCAAAAAGCTGCAGTAGCTTAGAATAGGAAGCGCTTATCTTTTACTTATCTTAGTGCCAAAATGTACAACAAAATTGCGCGAGGTAAGTTCTGCGCCAGAAATATACAAAATAGCGAAATCACCCCTCAATACAAAAAATTTCTATGTGTAAAGGCTTCCTTGCCGATAGACACAGACGAAACTACTGATTCTCTGGAACCGGAGGATACCATGGAATCACGCGAGCCCATGGTATGTACGGGATCACAGGGATCTTCTTCCGTTGAATCATGCCGTCGTTTCGCAAAGTTAGCCAAAAATTTTGCGCGTATCTCCTCCTCGGTAAGTGTCCGAACTGCTCCTCTCTCTTCAGCTGGCGATCGTGAACCAGCATGTGATGGAGCGTCATTACCCACGTACACAAGTTCCCTTCTCACTTGTGTCAAATCAATGCCATCGCGCTCGAGAGGCGCACGGTGAGCCCCTCTTAGCGGGGGTGTTTCCAACTGGCCGTACTCAAAGGAACTGCGATGCTCGTACTTGGCCTGCTCTAAGTCGTACTGGTTGCTTCCGTGATAACCCCGGAATCCTCGTCTCCAACTCTCGGGAGTATCACGCAGACGTTCGGTGCTTGTAGATGCGTCTGCATTCCTCGACAGTAATAGTGGACTATTATTGTATGACACTTGAACAGAAGCGTCTACTCCTCCATGAACCACAGTGTTTGTGTTTTCAAAACGCGGGCTATCCAAATCCTCCTCACTTTGGTTTGGCATCGTAAGTTCAACTAAGGAGCCTTGGTAGCTTCCTTCTGATGAAGATGGAGTGCCTGAGCGCATCATAAAAACAGGAGAGGCTCGATAATTGGCAAAACGCTGATCTACATTAGCCTCGTTAAAGTCTGACCCCTCGCTTAGATCCTCTTGTTCCAGTGCAAACTGAGACTGCGACAGCTGTTCAAATTGCCTTCTCGCATAGCTGTTGAATGTGAGTTGCTCTGTTGGCTCTTCCTCATCTTCATCACTGTCTATAGCTTCATTTCGCTCTATCTCATGTAACTGAACTCGATCATCGAAGGTAACACTTTTGTGAGAAGAGGCATGCGGTGAGTCGATCGACGAAACGATGGAAGAATTCCTCCTGGATGAGCTAACGTTGTCCTCGGGAGTTGTGACATCAGCCGCCTCTTCTCCTCCGAAGGACGTTTGATAATCGCTTGAGGACGAGATGCTTCCGCTGTGGATAGCTCTCTCAGTGCTATATTCATGGTGCTGCGCTTGACCAGAAACAGCATTATGGCCTGTCACTGCTAATTCTCTTTGATGCATATCTTTTCGTGAGCTACTCGCCAGAGCTTTATCGGATAAACCAGGCAAATTTCCGTTACTTCCAAGCTTCTCAGGTGATTGCTCGACAGCTTCATCTAAAGAAGAAGATGATGTACCTTTTTTAGAGCTCGGTATTAGGCTTTCGCTAGGAAGCAAAGCAGGATTAGGTAGCTTCGTTCCATTCGGTGTCATCAAGTTCCTCTTCTCGTTCGTCTTCTCCTCATCTGCGCTATTTTCGCCAATCATTTCATGGACTGAATATCCATAGCGCTCCCCTTCGTAAGCAGATGTTTTACTTTGTGCCTGGCTTCTTTCACCAAGTTGTGGCTTCAGACGATTCGCTATTGCCTGCTTCAGCAAGGCATTCGAAGCTGATGAACCTGCCGTTGTCCTACTGACCTTGCTTGAACGTCGCGTTTGTTCTAGCGAAACTGAAAATAATATATTGTAAGTTGAAAAACAGAGTATCGCGTTTTACAGTATAGTCAAGACATGATCCACTCAGCAAAAATGCTGTGTTACGCAATGGAGAATATGCAAAGCTTTCCTCCCTATCCGCTTTGAAAGCAACATACACTAGGTGATAACCATTTTCGTTATCATGGATATGATAAAACAAACCAGAAGTGGAGCTTGTATTTGTTCATATACAGTGGTCGCCAAAAAGTTGCAGACAAAGAGGCATTCAGTATTCATCGCTCGATTTAGAGGATGAAATGGTCTAAGTGCATGTGGTGTTATAGGTTTTCAGTCAAGAGCTACAATCCCCTCTTATCAAAAAAGCATAAAGATCCACTTCACAATAAATGCGGACAACAATTCTTGAACGCGAAAATTCTTACATCCTTTCTTCAAAGCGGAAACACAAGGTACTGAACAGGCAAGCATGCTATGTTATAGAGCTCATAGGGACTACAATCATGTCAAAATGAAACATATGAGAAGTTAAAATATGACTGCCAAAATAATACGTTTTACGTTCTTCCCACAATCACCCTGGACTTAGTTTGCATTTTTTGGAAATCAACTTTTGCCGTACCACTCGCCGCAGGGATTATGTTCCATACAGGCCATTATTAGAACTAGCAAAATAAATTGCTTCTCATAAGAACCGTTTCAGTTCATTAAATTATGCGAATGAGATGAATTAACATTCTGGGATGATATCCACGAAAGTCCATAATGGAGGAAAATGGACTTTCAAACCCCATTTCATTCGTTCACGGTGGAGAGTGGTCGGAATCTGCTTTCGCTCGGGTTATTCAAAAATTTTTATCCCATCGCAACCACGAGGCAAGGCGGTGTAATGAAAATGATTCAACCCTATGTACCTAAGATCTCGCTTGCGAAAGAGCCATGCGAAAAGTCCATTTAGAATGGGGCAGAATGGGATTTACCCCATTTCAAATAGACATGAAAGCCCATTTTACTCCCAGCAGCAAAGTCAGTTGACACTAAGCCCATTTCTGACCTTTTTGCATATTTTTGATTGCGATTTTTTGAGAATGTGTTCCTTAGCCTATTTTAAGATCACAAGTGAGTGGAAAAAGTTTTTTGTCTTTTATGAATTCTGAAATGAGTGTTTCCTTCTACACACAGTAAACGTTATAAAAATCATAGAAGAAGTTTGAATTCACCAAGATATCACTAACAAACACAAATGCTTCCAAATATGTCGATAAATTCCTATGTAAATCAAATTAAGTTTGCTAACTCTTTAAATCATTAAACGAAACTAAATTCATGATTTGTATTCAGAAACAAAGAAAGATGTTTTGAAATACTTACTCAGAAGCCATCTTTGACTAATCTCGGAAAACCGACCATCATAGACGGCACTTGAAAGTTAGTGGTTTTGAATTTGCTCCTAAGAAATACTGATCATTCTATAATAAAGAATGGCAAGGTTTTGCACTTACATGTTGACAAGTTGCGGACTGAGGCGAGTGATTGCCGAGGGTGCGGAGGGTGCAGATTGTCTACAAGGCTAGCGTGTTTTCGTAGGGGTACAGGGGGTGGTAAATATCGTGTCTCCTCGAGGAAGGCGTCCAAAAGGGGTGCGGTTCTTAAGTGCAAAAAGGCTACAGTTGGGAAGGGGCCGACACTCTCGTAAGGTTGCTAACAGTACCCCCCCCCCTTCTTTCGCAAGTTTGAACTCTGCCGGTATGAATGATTCGGAACTCGCTGTCTAGCGTAGACATGCTTTAATAGTTCCTCAACGTTTACCCTTCGACTGCTCACAATTTCATTTTCCTGCTTAAGTTCTTGGCTGCCCATAATTAGTTAAAGTTCATAGCTGGCATAGTTGGTGAGAATTGATGAGGACAGTTCTCTGTTCTTGAAATAAGTTGGTAAGTCGTAAGGCTATTCTTATAGGTCTCTGCAATCATTTCTCACAACTCCAGTCTGTTCCCTGTTCATTGGGCATATCTTTCAATGCTTAATCTGTTCATAGGGCTCTTTCTTGATTTGTAGGTGCCAGTAAGGCAGTTCTACTAAAAATATTGATCTGTAAGCTCCCCTGAGGAGTTTTTTCGACAATTATCCAGTTAGCGGTTATTTGTAGGGTGGTTCCTTCTCAAAGTATCGGTCCGCAAGGGGAACATTTCATTTTCATATTTATAGTTCTAAAGGTGGACCATAATGCGCTTTTTTTCAGATATGAATTTGAAGAAGACCGGAAGGGCTCGTAGAATCGTCATACAATTATCGTTCTATAAGCTTCTCATCAGGCACTTTTTAGGCTCGTACTTGTTTCTCAAAATGCTGATGTATAAGCGACTAGGGCACCTCCTAAAATTGTCGGTCTGTGTGCGGCGCGTAGAGGAGTTACTTGTGAAAGTTGGTTTGTATGAGGCGTTAATATACTGTAACCTGTTCTAATTATTTTTTCTCTCTCAGAAGACTAATTCATAAGGGACTCGGAAAGCGCTCTTTCTCAAATATCGGTCTTTGAACGGCTGCAATTTTTTTCGTGATATTGGTTTGAGGGTTTCCAGCTCAATTCTTGATATATTGGTCTGTGAGCGCCCATAGAGCGGTTATTTCCCAAAATGCTGCAAGAGGCCCATGGAGCGATTCTTTACAAATTATCGTTGGCAAGCCCCCCCCCCCTCCCCGCTCGGCCGCTCCTTTTAGAAATTATCGATTTGCAGCGGCACATAGAGCAATTTTTCTTGAAATATTGGTCTGTAAAATCCCGTAAGGCAGTCCTTTCTCAAATTATGGTTTGTAGGTGGCCCATAGAGCAGTTTTATCACAAAATATTGGTTGTATATAGGTTCCAAGGGCGGTTCCTCCTCAAAATACCATTGTGTAGGCCTCTAACAATAAGTAGCTGGCAGCTTCTTTCTCAAGACTTCGGTCTTTGGCTGTCCATAGAGCAGATTATACGTGAGTGCCTCGTAGGGCAATACAGTTTGTAGGGGCTGTAGATCTGTAATCTGGAATATCTGCTGATCCCCCATAGGGCAGGGCTTCCTGTAATTATCGGTCTGTGGGGGAAGGAAGAGGGGGGAGGGTAAGATAGCTTTTTCTCAGAATATCGGTCTTACAAGGGAAGTGTCAGAACTCGCAGTGGCCTTTTGACATGAAATAAGTATCATCTGAAGCAGCTTGAAATGCTGATTCCAAAGCAGCCTTTCTTAGCTGCCGAACTAATCTAGGACGAGAGTTATTGAATTTAATTTGCGGGAAATTTACAACGCTGAGAATAGCCAAAAATTAAAGCGAACATTTTTTCGGGCTCAAACATAGATGAAACAGTCCAACAATGTTTAACGTAATCCTACGCCTTCATCAAAGTCATGCTGTGGTGCTTAAACAAGCAATTGAAAGGTTCCCGTGATCACAGAGTACTTCAAACAGTGTAAAATTTAATGTTTAAAATGCCCATAACTCGCGACCCAGATCAGTTCTGCAGCTAAGAAAGTTTGTTTTGGAATCAGCATTTAAAGCTGCTTAAGATGGTACCCATCCCATGTCAAAAGGCCACTGCGACTTCTGACACTTCCCTTGTTAGGGCAGTCTCAGCACGGTTCTTTCTCCAGTAGGGTTTGTTGGGAAGAGGAACGACGGAGGAAGGGGAAGGGGGTTCTTGTAAACCTCGGTCTGTAGGGGACTGTGAGTAACTTCTCAAAACATCGGTCTGTTAGTGGCCTATAGGGCATTTTCTTTCTATAACTACCACTCTGCAGCGGCGCATAGGGCAGTTATATTCTCTAATATATCGATGGTAGTTACGTAAAGATATGTCTCAAGCAGCTCATAGCTTCTGTTGTTTCAAAATACCAGCTTGTGCTACACATAGGGCGAGCGACTGCTTCTTGCAATAATAGACTTTGAGCGGCTCTTAGGACAATTTTTGAAAGTTGGTTTGAAGATTTGAAGGACAATTTCTTCTTGATATCGGTCTGTGTGCGTCCATAGGGCAACTTTTTCTGGAAAAGGTCCGTAAGCGGCTCGTAGGATCATTCTACATGAGCAGTTCTTTTTTTGAAAATATCTTTTTTGAAAAATACCAGTCTGTAAGCAGCCCACAGTGTAGTCTTGTCAAAATAAGGGTCTGTAAGCGGCCTATAGGGCATTTCCTTCTAATGACTAATTACCGTCCGCGGGCGGACCATAGGGCAATTTTTCCGTCTGTAAGCAGCTTAAAGGCTTACCCGCAATATTCGATTTGTAGGGGGGGGGGAATTGTATGGCAGACTTATCCCAGAATACGATATCATTTGTAGGGGTATGAAGGGCACTATTTTCTCAGATTACCGCTCTGTAGGAGGCCTGTAGGAAAGTTTTTCTTGAAGTATTCTTCTCCAGGATCGTGGGGCAGCTCTCACATATACCGCTCTGAAGGCGCGGAGCAGTACGTATTTGCAAAAAGTGGTTTATAGGCGACACATAAGGCATGAGAATACAATGCTTGTTTTCGCTGCCGGAATTTTTCGGGAACTGAGGTACTTTCTGAGTGTTTAGCTGAGTGTAGACTACATCGTCGCTTTGAGAGTCGACTGCTTGGTGACTCTGTTGAGATTGGTGCAAACATTTGACCCAAAGAAAATTTTTAAAAGAGAGTCAAAAGGTATCGAATAATCAGCAAAGAGGATTCTCACAATCAGAAGAGTCAAAAGTCATTTATTACTCGGTTTCAGTTGTCCAGAACCCTAAAAAGGTATAAAACGTAGAGGTTATTATGGTGATGACTATATGTACCCTAGCATACTTGCAAGCGGCCCTTAGGGCCGCTAGTAACTTATACATACTGATAAGAAATACAAAGCAAAGAATGCCTTATGACTTGAAATTTACAAATCATCTGGAATTTTGTGTAAACTACTAATTCTTCTCACGGTATACTCGATGCAGGTGCCGATGATGGAAAAATTATTGCAGTTTAGATGTCTTTAATCCCCAAGTAAGTGCGGAGAAAAATTTGCCCCGTCTATATAAAGCTAGTTCTCGGATTACTACAAAGTCTCAAATATTGGCGGCACATGAGTTTAAAGTATTGATTTGAAAGTTGTTCAACTTAGAGATATAAACATTAGCGCTAAAAGGGAAAGAAGAGTTAAAGTAGAGGATTTGCGAAGTCATTTTTTTGCAAACTCGTAGACTTAAAAACCCTTTGGGTTGTAGTGTAGTACAAGGTTTCCTATGACATAAGCATTTTGAATCACAGATTGCCGTGCAAGTCTAGAAAGTTTAAGCATTTTGAATCACAGATTGCCGTGCAAGTCTAGAAAATTTGCATTGTGCAGAAAACTCTGCATAACAACTCGGTTTAATGCAGATTTATAGAAGTCTTGAAAAGCGAAGGCCCGGATATTACATGTATTTTAGTTGAATGGAAGTATTTAGACGGATAATCATAGACAATAGATGGCATAAAATATCCACGTGACTATCATTGTAATGTTAGGTCAGCCCTAGTTAGACACCGACCACTTGATGGAAATGAGTTTGCAAGAGTGATTAAACAGGTTGCGGCAAGTTGAAGAAAGGTTTGCTTGAGCATCTTGTATGGAATGAATGGATTCGCGAATGCGATATCTTATCGCATCGCATGGACTAAGTCCATTTTATTCGCACGAAAACTCAGTTCGCTGGGACTTTCGTGGATATCATTCCCGCTTGCATCACGCATACTGATATGATTTTCTTTGCTAATAATGGGTCTTGGTAGTGCTTGCATATCTCGCCTGTAGGCTCAGGGAAAAGCGAGACCTTCCAAAACGATTAGATGCATTAGTAGCAGGTATAGGAGACTTTGGATTTGTGGACGCTTTAAGAGTGCAGCCTCAGTGGTGTTAGAAATAAAATTGGCTTAAGCTTTTCTCGACATCAAAATCATCTTAAAATTTATTTGAGTTGAATACAAATAATTTGTCAGTTACGAACTACAGAGATGGCATTGGTGACAAAAAGGGCTTATAACTTTATCTGGATAAACTCAAGTTCACCAGTGAGGCTGCACTTCCTGAAGCGTTCCCAAAATTTCCTAAATCTAACAATAAAACATATCGTTGCGTAGGATCTCGCTTTTCGAATGAGCCCACCTTCAAATTTGGTAACTGATAGAGCCGAGGTTCAAGCCTGCAAAGCGGTACAAGTTAATGGTAAGGTGCAGGCAAGGTCATGTGTAGGCACTAACAAAAGCGATTTTTGGCAAAGAAAGTCATCAGCGCCCAGTGCCTACAGAATGGTTGAAAGCACTGACCTCATTCAGATAGCTTTGCTAGAATTTACTGAAACGGTTTTATGGGAAGAAATTTGGCTTGTAAGAGCTTCAAAATTACTTCCCAAAAATTGTGAAATGAAATCCAGGCTTGCTGTGGAAGGAACCATGAAGCAAGTACAGGGCAATCATATCGTGACGACGAACTGGAATGCGGTCTTTGCGGCAGCCCAAGCGTTGAAAAAACATGCAACATTTGAACTGACGCTCAGGTCAGGCATTTCAAGTGTCTAGCGGCTAACATATCGATGCAAAAAAATGCTTTTAGAAGAAGAAAAGCAAACAAAGTGCGATTGTCAAGACTGCGTATGCGATGCGCGCGACCGCGCCATTATCATGATCTTATGGTGGCCTATATAGTCCTTGATGAGCTCTATAAAATGGCAACTTCATTGTGCGGATTCTTCGTGTTTCCGCTTTGGAGAGGAATGTGAAGGATTTTTTACATTCGAAGAATTGTTGTTATCGGATATTTATGGTCCGCGCCATTGTGACGCGATATCTATGGCCTCGGCATTTATGACGCGGATATTATGGACTTTTTAAATAAAATATTTCTAAAGTTTTTCAAATGCATGCTTTTCAGTGGCCGTATTCATCAACGAACCCTGAGGGTTAAACTAACCCTGGAGGGTAAGTTTAACCCTGGAAAGCATCAACCGTATTCACGAAGCACAGAGCAGGCTTAACCCTGAGGGTTAAATCTAATTTTGAGGGTAAACCTTACCCCGAAAGCGATTAGCCCGTATTCATCAACGAACCCTGAGGGTTAAACCAACCCTGGAGGGTAAAACTTACGTGATTCATCAGGGTTAATTTAACCCTAGCTTAGAGCGAGGTTAAACCCTAACACTGCAAACATAAAGTGATCTCTCGATGCACCACTTACCCTAACGATGCTATTTAGCAACGAACACATATTTCTAATTGATATTATCTCAAGTTTGTTAAGTCCTCTTTTGTCTCGTCTGATCATATTATAAAAATTAGGGTAAAATTTTTTAGTACTTTATTGTTTAAATCAAAGCGTTTTTGGTTGATTTACGACAGTATGATCATGTTAAAAATTGTTAATATTGGTGAACTCAAAATCGATTGAAGGAGCCTAAGCCGAGCTTTGTTAAAGTTCATCATATCAAAGCCCTCGTCGGACATGTACTTCATTTGAAACTAGATCTTTTACTGTAACATTCGGCTGAATATAACACCGGTCGGTAACATCAAATAAAAACACAAAAATAGAGGCCATAGGAAGTTTGACTTAATAGTAATTATAAATATGTGTTTTTTGTCAAAACAGTATCGCTAAGCTTGAGTAAGTGCATTGAGAGTAAGTGCATCACTTGATGTTCGTACTAAGTGTAAGAGTGAATTGATTTTGCTCTATGCCAGGGTTAAATTTACCCTGATGAGCCACGTTTATGAATCGGGTTCAATGAACCTCGAGGTTCGTTGATCGATACAGGTTGTTCGCGTTCCGTGTTAAACCCTACCCTATGCTCAAGGGTTGAATACGGACAATGAGCCCTGAGGGTTAAACTTACCCTCCAGGGTTAATTTAACCCTCAGGGTTCGTTGATGAATACGGCCACAGGAAGCAGTATACGGGTGTAGCTTTTGAGAAACTCTATCACCAGGTGCATTTCAACTATTTCTTCATCATTATTCCTTTTGAGAATTGAGCGATGAAAAATGAAGGGACGCTTTGTCCGCAATTTTTGGCGCTCAGTAATTTGTTTGGTTGAATAGCCATTGGAACAAAGAATATGACTTCACCTGCGTCAAGTTGTGTAGGGTGTCTGTTGTATTGCGATTGCGGGCCATATGCGGGCTGTCCTTTCACACTGAGAATACTTATTGGAAAAAACTGAGAACTTTGATAAAATCTATCACCGTACCTGTACACGGTCGGCAACCTTCCACTGGCCAGGGTGGTGCTCGGTCCTGATGCGCCGCCAGGGAACGTCTGTGATGCGTGGATGTGGTGCTGGAATGGTGCAGTTGATTTGATGTACCAAAATTTGAGAGTATATGTGAGAGCCATCACCAACTCAACGATTGTACAGGCTGCACTCACTGATTAGCAGTATCAATTCATGAAGCGTAAATTTTGAGGGTTTTTGTTTAGAGTTCTTTGACAGTGCAAAATTTTCCGATCTCTGCAACTTGACATCCATACTTTATACAATGATGTCCAATGACATCCCTGAGTTAATGAAGGTATTCCAAGACTAGAAGGGGAGGCCCCTATCATGACTTATAATAACGGGCTAAGGGTTGTTTACGTCTTTTTGTACGTGTGTGTGTGTGTGTGTGTGTCTGTCTGTCTGTCTGTCCGTTACGAAATTCGTAGAGCGTGTTCCAGCAAACGTTCTAAGCCCAAATTTTGCATAGCTCATGCTACCTTCACGGAAGCCCAATATGCAAAAGCACGAGTAGATTCGTTGAGTGGATCCCTCAGAAATTGCGCGCCAAACGGGTCCACCTGGCTTCTGTACCGCAAAGTTCGGTCCGTATCACCACTTTTTGCAGAGTCGTGGATGAGTTTGGTAAGCAAATATGCAAGCGATGGAGTTTAACCAGAAAAGTGATTGAAAGTTTACTACATAACGAAAACGGCGCCAAAACGAATTGTTTGTGTAAATGGTCAATTTGCCAAGGTTCTAGCTAAGCGTTTGAGAAGATTTTCGCACAGAGATGCAGCTCACGGTTATCATTACCTTCATGGCGACTACCAAGTAATGACAAATCCAAAAACCTATTCGAATTTGCGTTTGTTTTTCTACCAAAAGTTTCATCCACGCGAAATCACCGATCTCACGTGAAAAAACTTTCTAAATGAGTGGTTGTTTACATTTTATTCGTGGTAGGCGGCATAGCGCGGTGAGTTCCAGTGCCATGATATTTTACGAGAATGAGTAAGGCACATAGATAGCAGAGCCAGTGCGAACCTCTGCGAAGCAGAGGTGACGCACTGGTGTGTTATAACTTGCTGCAAGTTATACAGCTTTTTAAAAGAGTCAGAGTCGATCTGTCTGGATACGTTAAGTATGGCCTGCTGCAGCTCAGCTGATATTATTTCTGTCTCAAGCTAATGAACTGTCGTTAAAGATATTTCTTCTGCGGATTTGCATGGTTCGGTTTAGGCAAGATCAAAGATAGTGGTCGAAGTGCCCTGTAACGTGCTATAAACTCACTTCGAAATGGAATTTCTGCGTTGATCATGACATAGCAGTAAATATTCAGAATCCATTCGTGTATCGGTAATTATCACCTAGGGGAAACGCTCATAACTTCCCTCGCAATGATGTTCAGCAGCCAGTGAAGAATCGTTTATAATCAGCATTGAGCTGCATCAGCTGATAAAGTGTTGGCCAGAATTACAGGTGCACCCTGAAGCCGTAACTCACTCGCTAGTCGATGAATTGATCTAGATTTTGATAACGACGTGCATACCAGCCTACCATCAGTACTGAGCGGGTCTCGCTTTCGTTTGATTTTTTGAGCAAAAATAAAAATTTCCGAGAAAGGCAGGTTCAAAGACGACCAAAATTAGTACCGAAAGTTTTTAAGCATACGAGTACTTCTTAGCTTCCAAAGTTATCTATGTAAATACGTAGCCAAAGCAACTAACAACTGTCCTAGATGAGCGTAGAAAATTCCATTTCTGAACCGATCCGGACCAAACTTGGCACACATACACTACGGGCCCCGGCGGGTGTCATAGGCTACTTTTCGTCATCGATCGATATCGATGGGGGTGATCAGCATGCTCGATTACACCCTCTGCCAAATTCCAGCCCCCTGGCTCAAATTTTGCAAAAAATCGATAAAATCGACATCGATCGATAACGAAAAGTGGACTGTGACACCCGCCGGGGCGCGAAGTGTATGTGTGCCAAGTTTGGTACGAATCGGTTCAGAAATGGAATTTTCTATTCGGAACATACGGCGGAGCCGGGTAAGCCAGCTAGTGGTAAAGGCATTGTTTGTACGAATGACAATTCGTATAGCATAATTTCTGTATTTTCTAGCACTAGGTATACTTTCGGAAATCATTGTGCAGAATTTGAATTAGTGCGAAAACTTGAAGAAATTTAGCACCTGGTACGCAACGGTCATAAATTCCCGCCTTTCAGCCGCCAAGCCAGTTGAATCAAAGGGTACATATTCATATAAAAAACTTTAGAAGCCGAAAAGCACTATTGTGCATAAAAAGTTTCGGTGGACCTTTAATTTGGCCAGCCTTCAGACCTGCTGTTTTTGATACTTTTATTTTTCTCGAAAAACTAAACGAAGGCGAGACCCGGTCTATATATTAGTAAGCTAGTGTGCACAGCGCTGTACCAAATGCTAAATCAATCCATCGACAAACAAGTGAATTACGGCATTTTTTAGAGTAGACCTATAATTTTGGCCAGCACCATATGTAACACATGCAGATACACTTTGATTCAACAGGATTGGCGGCTGGGAGGCGGGGCTCGAGGACTAATTGAGGGTGGGAGTGATCAGAGGGCGCGTATGCGAGAGAGACGCAGACTGCATCGCTAGTGCGAGCAATCGCCTTTCAGACGCCAATCCCGTTGAGTGAAAGTGTATGGTCGACTGCACAAAACAGCCCATATCGCCATGAGCTGATCGCACGCGAGCCTGCTTTGCGCGAGGCTGCCGAGTACTGGAGTTATGATGACTCATGCGCGCGAATGCTGAGCGTAGTTCGTAAGCCATCCCGGCAGCCGTGCGCCACACACGCTCGGGGGCGTCCGGCTTGATATGAGCGAATTCGTGAAGTCGACATTCCCGATCGACTTTTTATCTTTCCTTCGTTAGCATAAAAGAGAACTTTTACAATTGCACGAAAATGCTGACGTTGGTGCTGAAATGATGTACAGGTTTTGCTTAGGCGCTACGTAGATTGGCCTTTCTATCCTATGCTCATCTATTAGGTTGTCCGGAAATTAATGTCCATTTTGAATTTCAACCGCAATAAGTCATACATTTTTCATTCCTAAATAGGCTTCAATGCACTATTCGATAGAGCAAAGCAAGCTCTACAAGATGGCTATCTTGCTTTAGCGACGGCTTTGACCTATCTCGAGTTTCGAGCCAAAAACTAAATGATCCAACTGCCTGAAAAATCGAGGAAAGTCATAACTCATTTCACAAGAATTCTACAAAAATTCTAACTTGCTCACGTAAACACTATCCACATAAGACATATATGTACGCCATTGCCGTATTTTTTTTCCGTTAGAAATCAAGAAAACGAAAATTTCCATGCTTTTGCCAAGTGATGCTGTGTCGTCCTCACATGAGTAGATGTATACTACGAACCTAAAGAAGTACAAACGTAAACTTCCAGCTCTCTACAAACTTTAGTTTTCGAGAAATTTGAATTTTAGCTTGGACCACCTGACTAATGAAAGCTATATTCGATATTTCTCGAGAACTAAAGCTTGTGGAAAGCTGGAAATTTACGTCTGTACTTCTACATATTTGTAGTACACATCTACTTATGTGGAGACGACACAGCATCACTTTGGCAAAAGCATGGAAATTTTCGTTTTCTTGATCTCTACCAGAGAAAAAAAAACGGCAACTGCGTACATATATGTCTTATGTGGATAATGTTTTCGTGAGCAAGTTAGAATCTTTGTAGGATTCTTATGTACTGAGTTATGACTCTTCTCGATTTTTCGGGCAGTTGAATCTTTTGTTTTCGGCTCGAAACTCGAGAAGGATCAGACTGTTGCTCAAGCGAGATCGCCATCTTGTAGAGCTTGCTTTTCTCTATCGAATGGTATCTTGAAGCCTATCCAGAATTGAAAAATTTACGAATTATTGCGGTTGAAAACGAAAACGGACATTAATTTCCGGACAACCTAATAGAATGCATGACTGCGTTCTCGCATAGTACGATGCTACCCTTTCAGTCATTTCGTCACCAACATCCACTAGTACCTTCGGTTTCAGTAGGCAGCACATGAGCTCCTCAACACATTCACAACTTTGATCTAGCATCCTTCCACTAACTGTTTGTATTACAAGCAAAATGCTTTACGAGGTCACGCTAAAATTTCACTTAACGTGCTTTGCTGATGCAAATAAAAAGTTTGCAGTTATGTGGCCGTCAAACCCATCCTTGAGCAATAGGTCTTGTACATTCTTTCCGTTTTATATGTATAACTAGCTTGCTTACCCGGCTCCGCTCGGCCCTGTCAAAACACTGTAATAAAGTTCCCATCCCTATCCCTGTACAGCCTTTCCCTGTGTCCACTTCTACACTTCATTTCCCTTTCCCTGTGTTGTTTACGTAATCAGGATGCTCGATTACCCCCTGTGCCAACTCTCCCCCCCCCCGTAGCTCAAACTTTGCAAAAAGATCGATAAAATCGATAAAAGTAGCGGATAATCCCAAAAACCAATATTGTTAATCAGCGTGCTCGATTACCCCCCCCCCCCCTGTGCCAACTCCCAGCCTTGTAGGTAAACTCTGCAAAAAATCGATAAAAATCGATAGAATCGATATCGATCGATGACGAAAAGTAGCCTATGACACCCGCCCCTCCCCCCGAAGTGCATGTGTGCCAAGTTTGGTCTGGATCAGTTCAGAAATGGAATTTTCTATTCGGAACACACACACAGACAAACAGACATTCAGCTTTATATATAAGACTAGCGACCCTACGGGCGCTAGCAAGCGGGGTAGGGCAAACCCAAAGATAAATGCTTTTTCAAACCTATAATTTTCTCAGGTGTAATTCCAATTTCTTAGTATATGTATTGCCACAACCGCTCAAAAGTAACATTTTCAGAGGTTTTCTCGAAATTGGGGAATATCGTTTGGAAATAGTGTTTTGCTCCGAACATCGCTGTACAGTTTCCTTTCGCAATGTCAATCTCGCACTCACGCTCACATTTTGGATTGAAAAATCGAATTCATCCAGAGCAAAAGCTCCCAAAAGTGAGATTTTCACAGATTTTCTCAAAATTTGGGCGGAAAGTGGATCATGTCGTTTTAGAGTGTTTTGCTCCGAACAT